TTAAAAGAATGGTAGAAGGAAATAGGGGTAGATTATTATGAGTAAATATTATTATTATTCTCTTGGGTTCCCAGTGGAACATATGGCAGGCTTCAACGACACATCTCCACTTCCTTCTATTTTCTGCCATCCTCTTCATCTGGCTACCACTACGATTGCCCATAACCTCTCATCTCCTCCTCCCCAAATAGTCTACTCGACGTTGCCCTCACACTGACGACCCACTCATCGTTTCCCATTTGGATTTCACTCAAGCAATGGCCTGCATTGCGCAAGACTTCATTCAACGGACTCCTCAATGTATGCCCGATCCATCTCCATCTCCTGCTACATATTTGTTGAGCGATCGGCTCTTGGTTGGTTTGTCATCTACCAGAGTTTCTTGTTGCTAATTTCTTATTTCTGGCCCTCCGGCTAGCCGGCCATTCAATTTTCAGTGTAGAGCCAACCAAAAAAGTGAGCAGCTATTGATAAATGTCTGCAATAGGCCGTTGAAAATCCTTTTCATGACGGTCGGTCAGTTTTCGACATAGAACTTTGCACTGATGTGCGGCAGTTAAAGTAGCCACACTCCCTCCATGTACCACACAAAGCAAGAGAAGAAAGTAGGAGAAATGCATAATAGAGAGACAGTAAACAGAGGTGTGATATAAAGGAATAGTATTAACGAAGAACAAAACAGTTTCATTGAAAATCATAAGGCACAAGGAGTGGATGCATCTGCGCCACTAAGAACGATTTTGAGCCATATCACCAATTGTTTCCAACCATTGGTTTTATGCTAAAACTTGAGCTGAAGATGTTCAGAAGGAAGACGAAAGCTTCGCAATTAAATCAGCTGGGTTCCGAGTGGACTGTAGGACTTACAACAACACATCTCCACTTTCTTCTCTTTTTTGCCATCCTCTTCAGTAGGCCAGGCCGACGCTTGCCTATAATCTGTCATCTCTTCCTCACACGATCTCCTCCACATCACCCTCGCACTGACGACTCAATCGTCGCTTCCCATTTGGATTCCACTCGAGCGATGGCCTGCATTGAGCACGATGTTATTTGACGGCCTCCTCCATGTATGCCCGATCCATCTCCATTTTCTCCTAAATATTTGTTGAGCGATTGGCTTTTGGTTGGTTTGTTCTCAGAGTTTCTTGTTACTAATTCTTTCTGGCCGGCTGGTCATTTGATCTTCAGTATGGTGTCAGAGAAGGCAGCTGTTGATGAAAGTCTGAAACAGTGCAAGTTTCTGACCCGTATATAGGTGGACCAACTTGACATTTTTGTTGAAAATCCGAATCTTGTTCCTGATACTGAGGTGGAGTGTAGAAGGTTTCTAAAATGGTTTCAGGTTGATAAAGGCGTATTTTGTCTTTCTGACCCTCTCTGGCTGGTTTTGAAATCTTCATCCGTTCGGTGTGCCTGTAGTTGAAACGATGCTGGCTGTCTAGATAATTGAAGGAAGTAACCTCTGTTAAATCTCTCCCGTTGATGGTGATTAGTGCTGATTATTGTTGTTGTTATTGCGGAGAAGTAAATATTCCTAAGTGCCTAATCTATCTATCTATCCAATTACCGTTTAATCAGCCCTTATATATGATCAAAGCAAGAATCGGAAAAGCAAGACAAGCTTTCGCTACTCTTAAGTCTGTGTGGAGGTCAACAGCACTCAGCATCAAAAATAAGATCCGGATTTTCAACTCCAATGTGAAGTCAGTGCTACTTACTATACGGATCAGAGACTTGCACTGCGCGTCATAAAGAGCATGTCAAACAAACTACAGACCTTCATTAACAGTTGTCTCCGCTCAATACTCAAGATCAGATGGCCAGCCAGAAAAGATCAGCAATAGAGATCTCTGGCATGAGCGAACCAACCAGGAACCGATTGTGAAACAAATAGGCAGGAAGAAATGGAGATGGATTGGCTGGCCATACTCTGAGGAAACCATCATAGTGACATCACTAGACAAGCCATCGCTCGAGTGGAACCCGAAAGGGAAGCGGCGAGTTGGTCGTCAGTGCAAGAGTGGGTGACTTGGAGGAGGTCATGTGAAGAGGAGATGAAAGCGTGTGGGCAGACTTGGAGCCAGGTGAAGATTCTAGCAGAGAACCGAACGCAATGGAGACGCACGGCTGAAGCCCTATGTTCCTTTAGGAATTAAAGGAAACAAATATATAATATATGAACTCTGACGCTTATGTTGTTTAATAACCCTACGGGGATATGTTTTTTCTACATACATTTGTTGTTTCACCTTTTGTTGCCTTCACAAATGATGAATAAGGAAAGAGATGAACAGGTTATGAATCACCTTCATCGCGAGTTAGTTAGTTAGGCAGTTAGTTGGGCAGTTAACTTGTACAATTCCACTTGTAAACACATCTGGTTTGTGTTGATGTCAATGTGTATAGAAATAAAATAATAATAATTAAATGCATAGAATATTTATGCATTTTCATTTCTTTTTTAATGTATTACAATATTATGGTTTTCTTATTATTTATTTATTTGTCTACGATTTCATTGCACTCTCTCACCGATCCAAACACACACGCATTGTAAATAAATTTGATTTATGTCGACTGTCTTCATATGGGCACACACTCAGCACATGCACAAATACACACGCCTACGTAGCCGGTGTAGTACGTTTGATTTAGCCCTCAAGATTTGTGGGTGGGGTGAGGTGGTGTGGTGTGTGGAAATCATGTTTTCTATTTTATCCTTTCTTCTGTTTCATTCTTTCCACTATCCATCCCATTAAACGTCTTCTTTCATTCCCTGTGTGTGGTGTGTGTGTGTTAATATTGTTAGTAGTATTGGTAATTATTTTTATTATTAGTAGTAGTATTAGCATCGTCTTACAATGTTCTCTTTTTAATTCTCTATTCAACCTGTTCAAGTGTTGTTAATATAGGTCATGTATATGTGATGGTGACTCATCAACATGCTGTTTTGATGTAAAAATAAAACCAAAAAATATAATAATAATAATAATAAGATGTGATTAAGTTTCAGGGTGGTGTGTGTAATGTGATGAAAAGAAGATGAAGTAGCATAGAAAACGAAAACACGTCTTATCTGTCCGTCTATCTATCTATCTATCTGTCTGTCTGTCTGTCTATCCGTCTATCTATCTAAATGGTATCTAAAGTTCTAGGCTGAATAGAGTCATGCGTAGATTAAGACGAGAGAATCAGGAAGGCTTTAGAGTGGGAACAGGGTGTATTGATCATAGATTCAACCTTCGATAGATTCTGGAATATAGGCATACTTACCACTGGCGTCCAATAATCGTCATATTTCTTGACCTGAAAGCGGTATTCGATTCCGTCGATCCAGAGGTACTATAGCGATGTTTGGCTGTGGAGGGAATGCCGAGACAAAATACATCATACTGATCAAGGCACTCTACTCGAACTCAGGTAGTCAGTCACTTGAGAGCCTACGGAGAGTTGTCATTTGAAGTGGTGGCAACAGTGGTGTCAGTCAGGGATGCTTACTGTCCCCATTTCTATTTAATTTCATCATAGATGTACTAGTGGACTTAACCTGAACTGACTTCAGCGACTCAGGGATTAACTTGTTACCAGGATGTAATCTCGTTTACGTAGTATATGCAGATGATATAGTCCTTATAGGTGAAGGCGCTGACAAAATGCACAGTCTTCTCATCACCTTGAAGAGCAGCAATCTTCGAATGTCTGGAGTGTGATTCGCTCCCATCAGATGTAAGATGATGCTACAGGAATGGACTACATAGACTCCTAGCTTAGAGATATGGAGGGAGTGAAGTGGTGGAGCGTGTTGATCACTTCACTTATTTGGGGAGTTGCATCAGGCAACACCAACGGGTTGATCGCTGACGAAATCTCAACACGGATATAGAAGGCTCGTTTGGCATTTGCCAAATTACATCATCTGTGGCCTGGTAGACGTGATATCCGACTGGCTGTCGATCAAAGGATATGTGTGTATTGCCCAGCAGTAGTTCACTCTGTCCTGCTTTACGGCTGTGGGTGAGACATGGCCGCTGGGAATGGAAGATACGAAAAGGCTAGCTGTCTTTGACCATAGGTGTTAAGTGGTATAATAAGGTGAGGCTTCGATCGAGTGCTAGGTAGGTGGTAGGGGAAATGAATCAACGAGGCTGTGAAGTTACATCGACTAAGATGGCTAGGACGTATGTCTGGCCATTTATTGCCTTCCTCAACGGGGAATGTTAGCTGATATAGGATCGATCAGGTTGTTGGAAAGGAGCTAAAATGATGGAGTTTCTTGCTGGTCTACAGGTGTCATCCCCTATTGATTTATTGCCAGTCAGTGACAATATCGGAAGTAGCATATGTGAATTTGTTTATGGATTCTGCTAGCCAAGACGATGCTTGAAATGTTAAACTCTTACTATAGAAGTTGGGTGCAGCTGAGTCGGATAAATACCACAACCTGATTCTCTTTCAAAAGCCTAGTAACAGAACGTTCGACTTAACCGCTTGTCTACGCCAACAACGGCTAACTCACCTCTCAGCCACCACTACTTAAGCGAAAACACACCAAAAACTGAACGAAAAGTAACCGTATATTCTTCACCAAGGTAGGATATGTCAATTCATCTATAATTTATAATCAATAAAGTAGTGGGCGTTATTTTATGTAGGCCAAATCTGATTGGTTAATTTCCAGACTGGATATCGATCGTCTTATCTTCTATGTCAAAGCGAAGTAAATGCTTATCGTAGGCTATATCACGGATTGACAGAAGTTATAATTTATTGAATTTCTTGCCCAGCTGCCTGATTGGTCAACGAGCTTGGCCTCGTAGCCCTGATGGAGTTGTAGGCGTATACCATTGAAGAGGCACGAATTAGGACGAAAAACCACTCCAATCAGTACATCGTAATTTTCAGTTGGCGTTGGTTTGAAATTAATCTAAATACCTACAAAAATCCGTGATATAAATAATTATCATTTATTATTGTCCTTATCTCTTGCTTACCTTTAGTCATTTCAAAGTGTTCCAATTGAACTGAATTTAATTCAATCCGAGATATGGTCAATAAAAGATTTAATTCCTATGGATCAGAGTATTAAAACTGTGCTGAATAATTTCGCCCATTTAATATATCATCGTAGAAAACAAGCGAATTCTTCAGTGAGTGTAAAACATCCGTCTAAACCTCTACTGCCTACATCAATACGGAATAATACATTCGGGGTAAGTAGTTTATTTTGTTGTTTTGCTTGATGTGGTTTTTTCTCTGTTCTATATGTGTTTTCAAATTCCCATTTATGCATTTAGGAAAAAGAACAACAGATTGAGCGAAGAAATATGCATTCCTTTTCAATAAGTTCCTCATCATCGGTAATATTCGTGATCTACTAAGTCGAAACGGATATCCAACTAAATTCGTGAACAAACACATGAACTCAGAAAGTAAAAAGTCGAAGGTGCCTACTGTTCCCAAAACAACCAGTCTTCTTAAGATTACAATTCATGGGTGATTTCAATAGCGAGATCTTACCACCTTTAGGCATAAATCCGACCTAAACAAACTGGCTGGCTCTCAGAGGTGTACAACATTTATGGCACTGAAATAGAAACCAAGTCGGAAATTAAATACCTAGGCGTCATTCTATCTGCTGATCTTTCCTGGTCGTCTCATATCTTGGCGATTTCTAAGAAAATATACCGTCTTACCTTCTACATCAAGAAGTTAAGGCATTCTGGTATAACCCAACCCTTACTCCTACAATTCGTTAATTCTCGCATTCTGCCTATTATTCTCTATTGTTCTCCCTTAGTTTTTCCCGGGCTACTGAAGAAAGACTATACCTTATTACGCAGGATATTAAAGGTTGTCAGCAGGGTAAGCAATGTGCCACTTAACCAGCTTGTTAATATTCTGGTTGACAGGCAATTGGACTCATGTGAAAAATGGGCTAAATCCATTCTGTCTAATTAACACCACCTTCTTCACTCAAAACCCTCCCCTTGTATCTCATCAGGCAAACCAGAAGCCTATATAGAAAACTATATGCTCGCACCAGCAAGTACAAAACCCAACCATACCCTACTTACCTCGTGTTCTGTGCAATAAAGAAAGCATTAGGCGTGACGCCTATAATTCATTAAATAGTCAGTAGAACAACTGGATCTCGTCTTTCCAACTCATATCATTTATCGGTACAACATTTTCTTTCCTTCTTTTCCTATTCTCTCTCTCTTTTTTCCGTTATTTGCTGCTTTGTTTCTTTCTTCTGCTTACGCCAGTAAATATGGCAGGACCTACTTTTCTAACACCTTCAAACACTGTTCAACTTTGGCTTTGCTACCGACATGTCAATATGTTGTTGTCATAATCAACTGAGATTTCCTTAATCTATGTAGAATTCTATTTATTGATAATGTACTAACTGGATACAATACAGTAATAAAAATGCTGAGAATTCCATTCTGTATCACATGTACTGTTTGGGAATAAAGTAAATTATTATTATTAAACTTCGGAGAAGAGCCTTCAAAAACGAACTTTCTACGCAGCTAACATATACTGTATATTCACTAACCGACTAACACCTCGTCCAATCAATAAAGACAAACTGCCCTGTTTCGTCTCTCCCATGTGTATTTACCAGTTTAACTGCCCGTGTAGAGCTAGTTACATACGGCGTACGATCAGGCAAGTTCATCGTTGAATTTCTGAACACCTCTCCATCCTCGTTTGGCAAAGGTCCGAATAAGCTGCTATACGCAACTCAATACCAGCGTTCATCTCGTCGATACTGGACATCAAGTCGACTCTGACAAAGCTTTCAAAGTTGTTTATCGTATATCACCCAACCTCTGGCCGCATGGTCTACGAGTACAACTTTTATTTACAAACAGCAGAAGCAATCGATATTCATCTGAACAAGCGAAATCTGTGCGTGTTCAAAAGAAATTTGTACAGCTCCTTTCTTTGCTATGGTCAACTACATAATATATATTCTTGCTAATTCCATTAACTTGTTTGTATTTTACGTAATTCTTCTTTGGTCATCATTGCTATTTTACAAATTGTCTTTGATCGATAATAAAGCCGGGTTATTACTCTTAAACTTCAGCATATATACAAAGAGAGAATTCTGAGATCACCTTTTCTCAGCAATAGCTTTTGTTTTCTGGAAATCTTGGTCTCTTACATACCGATACTTGCTAAAGATTTCATTGTTTTGTGCTGAGAGTTTCTGGTGAATATTGCTTAAAATGCTGTTTTTAAAATGGAAACCACCTCTTTGATAACAAACAGGAGTACGACTTATATAATTGGAAACATTTATAGTTTCCAAATTCTCATTTACGCATTTAAAATAAAACCAACAGACTGTGGGAAGAAATATACATTCCTTTTCAATGAGTTCCTCATTATCGGCTGACTCTCCACAGTAATATGTAGTTTTTATAACCTGTAGCTAACGCCTAAGAATCAACTTGAATCTTGAATTCCGTAATTAATTAATTTTCATCCCTTCCTCCTTCAAAACTTGGATATCTTGTTACCGACGTGTATTAGTTAATTGTTTTGATGACCTTTAACCTCCTAATTTCACCCCCCCCCCGCCTATACCTAAAACTGATTAACAAAAATAACCACTTGATTGGTAAAACATTTTGATGTAAAAAAACTATATATTAGTGTAAAGCCAGCCGATGATGAGGAACTAACTGAAAAGGAAGGCATATTTCTTCCTTCATCTGTTGTATTTTATAAATATTTATTTATTTTCAAGAGTTAGCTTGGTGGGATTTGATTTTGTTTCATCCTAGTTTGGAACCTACTGGGGTTCGAACCTAAGACCTTTCGGTTACAAGGTGACCACTTGTAGACCGACCATTCAGCCATTGGGACCTGATTCAAAGGCTAGTCCATTCTTACCTTTAAAAGAAGAAGTGTTCAGAGGGAGAGTTACTTCTTCCAAGGATATCACTATCAAGTCGTACAATCACATACGTATATGCAGTACACTTGAAAGAGGTTAATTCCTTCACTCTTATCCAGTCAACATCGTTTCAACTACAGGCGTGATTGGGTGAAGGTGTCATAAACAGAATCGGAAAGGTAAGACGACACCTTCATCATTCTGAAATCAGTTTGGAAATCTTCTCCACTCCACCTCAACATAAAGAACAAGATTCGGTTATTCAACACCAATGTTAAGTCAGTCATCTGAACATGGTGTGTGCGTCACGGAAAGCATTTCCAATTGGTTGCAGACTTCGCTCCATACAGAAGATCAAATAGCCGGTCAAAAAAATTATCAACGAGAAACACTGGGAACAAAGCAACCAAGAACTTACTGCTCAACAAATAATCCTAAGGAAATGGATTTGGATCTAACACACTCTGAGGAGACCGTTGGATGACATCCCACACCAGACTGTCACTGGAGTTGAACCTGAATAGGAAACGACGAGTTGGGCTTTGGTCGAAGGGTGACATGGAGGATCTTATATGATGGAGTGCTTCCGTTATATCTCCCGTGTGAAGCGGTATAATAGGGTGAGTAACATTGAGGTTAGGCATCAGTCGAGTGCTAGGTAAGGGTGGAAAATCAATCAACGAGTTTGTGAAGTTACATCTATGGAGAGGGATGGTTAGGACATGTGTTGCGCATGCCTATCCATCGCCTTCTTCGAGGACGCGCAGTGTTAGCTGACATACGATGGATCATGTTGGAAAAGGGAAAGCTACTGGTGGTCAGACCAAAACATGGCTTCATCAATTAATGAAATCCACAACAGTTAGTTTAAACTACTTAGGAAGGCGTAAACTACCATTTAGTTGGCGGCTTGTGACGGTAAAGATCAATAAAGGCTGGAGACAGTTGTTGATATGGCTGGCTCAAAATCGTTCTCAGTGGCTGGCACAGATGCTTCCACTCCTTGTTCTTCCATATTACTATTCTTTTTCCCTCAATCACATTTCTGTTTATTATCTCTCTCTCATTTGAATCTGTCTTTACTGTCTTCTCTTGTTTTGTTTGTTACATGGAGGGGGAAGGACAACTCGAACTGCTGCACATCTCTGCAAAGTTCTATGTTGAAACCAATCAGTCAGTCAGTCAGTCAGATAGGGAGGAAATGAGAGGCTATGGGAAATTGTATCGCTAGCTACAAAGGACCATGGAGAATAGGACGTTGTAGAGATGTTCTGTTGAAGCCCCCTATGTTTCACTCGGAACCCCAAGGGACAGTAATAATAATAATAACATAGTACATTGTCATCGATTTTTCAGATATTAATTTCGTAATAACGAAAGCATTAGTTCGAGTGCAACCTAAATTAAAACTAACTAAGTTGAGTGACGTAACATACTTTGATAAGATTGAGTATTATTAAGTTATTATTGTTCCCTTGGGTTCCCAGTGGAACATAGCGCTTCAACTGCACGTCTCCACTTGCTTCTGTCCTCTGCTGTACTTTCCATTTGCGGCCATGTTAGTCCATACTGCTTCAATTCCTCTACACACGATCTCCTCCATGTCACCCTTGAACGTCCCACTCGCCGCTTCCCTTTCGGGTTCCACTCGAGCATTGGCCTGATGCGCGATGTCACCTAACGACCTCCTCAGCGAGTGTCCAATCCATCTCCACTTTCTCCTGCATATTTCTTGAGCGATTGGTTCTTGTTTTGTTTGTTCCCATAGTTTCTTGTTCGTGATTCTTTCTGGCGGCCATCTGATCTTGAGTATAGAGCCAGTGAAGACAGTTGTTGATAAGGGTCTGCAACCTGTTGGAAATATTCTTTGTGATCCGCCAAGTTTCTGATCCGTACGTATAGAAGAACTGACTCACTTGACGTTTGTATTGAAAATCCGAATTTTGTTGTTGATGCTGAGTTGAGTGACGAAGATTTCCAGATGGGTTACAGGTTGATGAATGTGTTTCTCGCCTTCCCGATTCTCGATTTGACATCCTCGTCCGTCCGTTTCTCCTGTAGTTGAGATAATGCTCCCTAGATAAGTGAATGAAGTAGCTTCTTTCAAATCCCTCCCGTTGACGGTGATTGGCGCTGAATGTTGCTGTTGGCGTTGTTGTTGGTTTGTTGGTTATTTTCACAACCTTCGTCTTGTCTATGTTCACCTGGAGTCCTGTCTTTACTGCTTCTTCGACCAGTTGAACTCAGCTAAATTACTAAAACAGTGTCATTTTACATAGTGATAACTTTGGCGTAGATTTTGAATTTCATAAAAGACTCACCCATTAAAGTGTTTATGTGTCTATTTTGTTTTTTTTTTTTTTTCTGTTTTAGCGTCATCGTATTCATCGAAGATCAGTCGATGCTAATCATTTCATTCGAACACCAGTATCATCATCATCATTGTCGTCATCCGCGACAGCTACACCAACAACCTCTTCATCATCATCGACAAATAATCCAACATTATCTACAAAACATTTTGATATTCAATTATTACTAACTGGCCGGCAATTCAATGATCCTGTTGAATATATAGCTATTCCAGATGCTATCTGTACCCCCAGAGCTTTAGGTGTTATACAAGTAAGTTATATACAGTTTTGTGTGCTTAATGAATTAATTGCGTTCAAGACTTTCATCTCTCTGTCGCCTTATACCCTTTAGTGTAAGGAAAAAGCAATTCTAATGCTGTTTAGTTTGATGATGGAGGGGGGGGGGGTAACAGTTAAATCTATGGTGTGCACATTTCATTCTAGTTGGAGTGTCTAGCTGAGGAGTCCTGAACGGGGACGAAATTTGAATCTTGGATGAGATTACTAATCACTATCAACCAAACGTCATCATCAGCTCTCTGAGTTAATTCACATGGCGTACAGGGTTGATAGACTCGACCGCCCCGTGTTTGTCTCACTTCGATTGTCTGGCTGGTTGGTTTTTTTCCCTTTACGTTCCCCAGTGGAACATAGGGCTTCAAGCTGGGGCTTGAAGTTTCTGTACAGTTCTATTTTACAGGATGGGTGCTACCATGCCTAACCTTTCCTCTTCACCAGCATTATTTCTGGCTTAGAGAGGTAAAGGAGTGCGTCGGTGGCCGGGGATCGAACCCCGGACTATGTGCATGGTCGGCGAGCGTCCTAACCGCTATGCCACAGACGCTGGTTGGTAGGCACTAATAATTTATGTGAGTGGTATTCTACTACTCTTTTCCACCTGCCAGTAATATATAACATACCATATTGTGTTAGCCTAAAAGGCATCGTCGAAGCACACGTATTAGGAGCTGACATGTTGGTAGAAACTGAACATTCCAGTCCCATTCACTGACTTCACGTGGCGCGGCGGGTGTTCCTCAAATAAAGTGAAAATGCGCTTGCGACTAGACTGGCTGGTGGACATGCTGATGGCCTACCTAGCTGGAGGAGCTGAGAAGGCTTGATTCAAACACGTATAGTGTACACGGACACCAGAATCCGATTGGATCGAATGGCGTGTGAACCTGTTTGGGTTATCATCAAGCATGATAATTCAGTAGCCCTTAACACAGAATTCAATTCGAAGGCTCAGGCAGGGGTAGCCGCTTAAAACAACCTCTTGAATCGATTTAGGCGTCGGGCGAGCCGCAGCTCTCGCATAAACTATGCTGTTTTGTGTACCTCATCTTTCGCTTTGTGTTCTGTAAATTCAGAATAAAAAATTTCTATAAACAGTTAACAAGTCAACTGGATAATTTATGACTGACATGTAAAACAGATAAGCTCATCAATTTAAAAGTTACATCACAAATAGGAGAAGTGATTATTGTTATTATTATTATCTACACACTGTTACACGCCAGTAGTTTTTACGTGCATTATACTGAGTACAACTCAGTGTGTTTTCATCTGCTCAATGCAACATCTATGCTTCACTAATTAATTTCATGCTAGTGACTGGCCATAGGACAAAGTTGACTGGAGTGAGTTCTAGTGTGAGAGTTCGTGACCAATTAGTGGGGTCCACTAGGTCGGATTAGGGTGAGGACAAATACTCTCCATGGATGACATTGGCTGATGCCAGTCGCGGTGAATTTAGAATTCATAGGTTGGCTAATGAGTCGGGTGGGTCCCAGTAGTTGAATTGTCTACCAGCTTGACCTGCAAACGTAGGATTCTGAGTTCGAATCCCGGTGATAGATGGGTACTTATGATGAGTCCCGAACCAGGAGAAAACAGCTATCCTGTACTCCCTCCATGGTTTTCAATAGTTCTCTAACTCATTTATCAATGCGTAATCAAACTAGAGGACAGGAGAATTCAGTAACGAAATTATTTAATAGCAACGCGATACACTGGTACAGTCAAAATACGTTGACCAATATAGTAGATTAAGAAGAACAAGAAGTTCAGCAAATATATCTTTTCGACGATTTCATTCTCAAGAGCTCTACAATCGCATATATATATAAGTTTACATGTATACAATTCTTATTCGTTTAATTTCACATAGTAACGAAGGTGATAATAATTTTCAACTTGATATGAAAGTTTGAAGGTACGAATATAAATTACAAAAAGCTTAGTGACAAGATTGCCTAGGATTAGATAACAGTTACAACGTATGCAAAATTAATATTTGGTAACTGGAGAAATAGTTTTCAAGGCGAATAAAAGGTGATAATTTTTTTCAACTTGATGTGAATTACAAGAGGCTTAGAACGAATTACAGGTGTGAACAAAATGAGCATGGAAACAAATTGAGATCAAAATTTTTCAACTTGAAATGTAAGTTAGGAGGTGTGAATATAGATTACAAGAGGCATAGAAACAAAAGATTACACAGGATTAGAATATAATTGTAAAATGTTTATTCTGAACGGATCAGGAGGATCATGGAAACAAACTTACAATAACTGATTTTATAACTGGAAAAATAGGATGAATTGAATGAAGACAAAGAGAGATAATTACACACACAGATAACAAAACAAAAAAACTGAAGGATAAGGGAACTAGTTTCTTTTGAACACATAGCTCCGGCTTTTCGATGTATATGGCGAGAGCTTCCGCAGTACAAAGAAGTCGGAAGCATACTGTCTTTGGCAGATTTTTGTTTACTTTGTAGATGACTCTAAATGATGAGTTGGTTGAGATTCTGTGGCAGGTATTGACAAGATTTTCAATTATTGCGCTTCTGATTGAACCAGTGCCTCCTCTTTGCAACCATGCTGGATGATGTTCTCTAACACGTTTTGATAAGACCCGCATAGAACGACCTTCAAACTTTCATATCAAGTTGAAAATTATTATCACCTTCGTTACTATGTGGAATTAAACGAATAAGAATTGTATCCATGTAAACTTATATATGCGATTGTACAGCTCTTGAGGATGAAATCGTCGAAGAGATATCTTTGCTGAACTTCTTGTTCTTCTCAATCTAATGTTCCGATGGGTATTTTACACAATATAGTAGAATCATGGTTTGTACATATCTTTGCCTTTCTTTGATGTTTTCCATATTGTGTTTCACAAGCATCGTTCATTAAATCCATCTCTCTGCTATTCGATATTCTTTTAGATGACATATATGCCTATTTATTTCCGCATCTATCTATACTACTTTTAAATATTGTCAGTAGTACACGCCACACTGGTTGACCATATATAGGGAATAAATTCAACCAATGACGGTGATTTTGTGGAACAAATAATAATGATATGAATGATAATAATAATGTGGTAAAATGTTTTGAACGTCATTTAATAACGATGATTATAATGATAACAAAAATAATAATCATGATAATAAGGTTTATGCAGGTGGCGATAAAAATAACGAAGGTAGTAATTAATATGCATGTGTATATGTAGATAATTCCATAAATATATATAATTAGGCCAAATCTTAAAATTAGAATTTAATTGGTGGATGGTGACTAGCAGTGTAATCCAGCCAGGGTGCGCATTTCGTCCCGTTTGGGACTCGTCATCCGCTGGATACACCTGCATTCTGCAGTGAGTCATGATGATCTGCGCAAGAAGCCGAAATGTCAATCTGAGACGCTTTGGCGTTTGAAACTATGGGCACTGGGTTCGAGCCTAGCTGGAAACACCATCTTTCACTGAGGAATGCAGGTACATCCATCTGGCGGGTGAGTCCCAAATGGGACGACATACGCATCCTCATGGATTCCACTGCTAGTGACCAACCACCAGTCGACTTCAAGTTATATGCCCAGACATCGTCGAAATATCTATACGAAGAGCCGACATGTCAACCTGAGACTGAGCACTTCGGTCCAGTTAATCAACGGGAAAATCTAAAATTGAATTAAACAAAATTTTATAAGTTACGTAATAAGTACTGGGGGTAAAGTGGACAGATAATCATAGTTAGAAGCAAATGGAAGACAATGAAGGCTGTGTAGGAGGTAGTGTTAAAGCTAAATATATAAGGTGAACAACTAGACAGCTCAAAAAACGCATCATTACTGAGCATCTTCCTTCATAGTTCGGAAAAATCCAAGTAAAACATGGGTAGGAAATTCTGTTTCGTCTCATTTGATTGATGATAATGGTCACCAAGTGGATAGAAGAAGTGCCTTTTCATCGAACCTCTCGAAGGAAATTTGACCCTGCCTTCTACACACATAGCTGAAGCAATGGGAATTAATTTGAGAGAACAATCCCAATCTTCGCAGGCAGCAAAAGAAGTTTGTTCTCCCATCATCTCTGCCTCCCTTGGTCTGGGTAAATTCCAATCAAAATCCCTCTCACCCACAGTCTCTTATTTTCCATTTCCTTCGTACTTTTATGCTATTTATTTAAACTCTGATTATCTGTCCACTTCACCTTTAGTATTGCGTAACTTTTGAGGTCTAATCTAATTTATTTATTGATTGAATTGTCTACATATACACAGATATTACTACCTTCGTTATTCTTATCGCTACCTGCATAAACCTTATTATCATTATTATTTTCGTTATCATTATAATCATGGTTATTAACGACGTTGAAAACTCACCCTCACTGGTTAAATATTTATTTGCATATAAATCCATGTATATTAGGGTAAAGCCTGTAGAAGAAGATCTAATTGAAGACAACAATGTTGTTCGCCTATATGTCTTGTTCGAATAAATTAGACGACATGTAAGTTGTTCGCCTTTCATGCTGTCTACTGTCCTACTTTCTTCTCCACCCCTCCTTCTCCTCATCCTTCTCCTCTTCACTCTTCTCTATCCGTCTTGTTTTCCTCATCGTCTTTGTCTTCTCTCCCTCTCCCGCTCACTTCTCTTCTTATATAAAGTCCATTTATTCAATTTGTTTCTAATTATCTGAAGGATTATTTACATATGAATAATTTTTCTTATATATGCATCATTAAATGTCTTCGCCTTCTACTTCTTGTTCGTCTGCTTCTTCTTCGACAGTGAAGAGACTTTCTTCACAATCTCCACACTCTTCCTCATCACACCCGCTCACACACACACAAACACACACGCAGAGCTCATTTACATATTCACCTACATAAACTCTAGACACTGAAAGTGTAAACCTAATTATAATTAAACTTTATTATTATTATCATTCACTGTCCTT